CTAAGTGTCGTGCATTTATACAGGTTGATGTAAAGTACTATTTTAATAGTCCCTGTTAAATACTCTCCTTCTTAATCTCATTTTATTGTACAGTAAAATAAACCTCATAGTAATAGGCATGTTTTGAAAACAACAATCAAATCTATCTAGAATTTGATAAATACAATCATTCTAGTGCCAAAAATGGGTGAAATGAAATCAATAGAAGTATTTAAAACAAATATTTTTAAATTGTTTTCACAAATAACATAATGTACGAGTATGTAGGGGATTAGGAAAATAAATAAAGGAAAAACTATGTATACGAAATGCAATTAGACCCGTTGGCATTCAACTGGTCAGTTGAAGTTCGACAACGTTAGGAGACGCAAGCGCCCACTAACCTATATTGTATCGTCATCCACACTGTGTACATATTTTACCAACTCGTTTCCCCGGAGATGTCAACTGCATTCAATCCTATCACACTTCAATGAAACATCCTGTACTCGATTAGAGCCAATTGTGGGGAAAATGAATCACGATGAGTTTGCTCTCGGAGGCTTCACACGCCACATGGCGTCCGAGAAAAATGAACACGGGTATCGGTGCAAAATACCTTCGACGGTAAAAGTGATAAGACAACTTTCTGGTGATTCTGGCATCGCCGCTGATGAAGAGGACGTTAAACCTTTGACAAACCAAATCGTGGATTCGGAGAATGACATGTCAGAAGAAGAAAATTTCTTGGATGCTATTGACGATTTTAACGAGTGAGTTAAATCAATAATGTTCCAATCAGCCTTTATTAAACTGCTTTTTAGAAGTGCCAATAATACTTTTAATTTCTTATTAGTAAAATTACGTACTAAATTTATAAGGTAATTTATTTTTTAAATTTTATATATTTACTTATTAAGTCTTTATTTTAAAGCGCCCTAATTAAAGGGTCATGATGGTTGGATTGAATGTCTGATAGCATTTTCTACCTTTCAAAGCCAGATAAATGCAGACAAAAAAATTGGCGACTGAACAAACTTATGTTAATAATAACTAAAGCGTCTTATATAAATTATGTATGCATTAAACCTATACGCATATTATCTTCTTAACACATATTCATAGTTACTTTTTTAACTATCCGATGTCGGTGACAGGGATTGAAGTGGTAATCTTAGTTGGCTTTGTTTCGACCTTTGACGTTTGGTTTCGTTGTACTGTGTAAATAATATAACGTAACGTAATATTTAGGTGCTAAGCGGATCTTTTAATATTGATGTCTTTTCTGAGCCTACAAAATATTATTACAATGAAAAAACTTAAGCCAGTTGCATCGCGGTCCCCACTGACAAACGATACCCATCAGAGTTTCACAATCCCAGTAATGGCTGTAACACTATTGGTCCTAGTAAACACAGTAGGAGCCAAAATCGGAAATCATTGGTTTACGGATCCGGTTTTTATTTAAGTCCTGTGCATAGCCGTTTCATTGTATATCTAGGATCAAAACGAGTGAATCAAATATTTTACATCTTTTACACAAAGGTTCCCTTTCTGTTTTTTTATCTTTTAACGCTAAGCACATAATACATCGTCATTTTAATAGCAATTACCACATAATATGAAAGAGCAATGTTAGCACAGATATATCGTGATATTATTATGCGCAAAATCGGTCAGGAGGATTTCATTTTTTATAGAATAAACGTGACAAACAAGCACCAATTCTACCTGTTTTTAGTTTTAAGTGTTTGCTGGCCTATAGACTACATCTATCCTCGATTAAGAATTAAAATGTAAACGTGTTCACCCCATAGTGAAAATCATCTCTGGGGCTCTACACTTACCATACGAAACACAGCAGCATTAAGCAGCTAATTTACGATGGTATTCTGTGAAAGCGTGATTCATTGCGTGACCCATCCGTGCTACAACCACGATTAAAATAAATATATTCCCATTCCATGTCTCACCCATTCAACAAATTTTTGAAGTAAGATTTTATAGGTACTTAAATAACTTTATAAAAATATATTAACTTATTTTATATTCCCGACGTTTCTTCGACGAGATAAAATCCGTTACCTATAACTAGTTTCATTTAAATGTGTAGTGCTCGCGTAAGCATAAAAAACCAATAAAATTATAAAATTTGATAACCAAGTGGATGTTAGACAAAAACAATTTTTATTCTTCCAACGGACGCAATGTAAAACGTACTATCAAAAATAGTTACATCAAAATAGCAATGTTATATTCAAGTATATGCCTACCAATAAGGCCTCAGTAGAAAGTATAGGTATGTCATACACGCTACACGGCCCTCCCAGCTATAAGCTGGAGGACGGTGGACACTGAAACGGTGCCCTTAGGCCTCAGTGCAAGCGCTCAACAGGGCATCTCGTAGCAGTGCGTTTAGTGGAACGCTCTCCACTGCCTTTCCTACGGTCCCGACAACAACTGAATTAAAAAAAATACAGTAGATAAATTACATGCACGACGTCAGCTGTAAACAGCTGTAGTATAAACAAATAACTAAGAAGATTATTGAAATATTGATTAAAATTCCATATATCATCTATGATCAAGATATATCTATACATAAAGTTTTGATGACGGAGATAGACGGCCCCCACCATTACATTAGATTTGATAGACCACAAATCTTCGTAAAAGACCCTCGATTCCTACCAAGGATGATACAAAAAGGCTATTGAAATTAAAAACATCCCAATTTCAGTACAGAAAGAGGCTGGGTACTATCACCTGCTAGAGATCCTGTAATGAATAAAATTAAAACTAAATCCACGTACCACTGCAAGACTTCAAGACACCTAAAGTTCATTATGCGTAGATGGGACCATAATTAATAATTAAAAAGCTGAAGGTATCCTCCGGCTTAACACTGACATCGGGACATCAGTCACCACCCGTGACCGTGGGTGCTGAAAAGCACCCGAAAAGTGGGGAATTAAAAATCAAATAAATTAAATGCAATAAAATCCTTAAAAGTAGTTTTAATTAATGTGTAGTGTTCGCATAAAAAGATATAAGAAATCATTGGGTGCTTTTGGCAGAAAAAAGCGCTAGCAAGCGCTTGTAAGCAAAATGGCGATCGTAAGCGGTAAGCGCTGTCAAATCGCAAGCAGCTATTTTCCTCGAGGATACGAAGTTAGTTTTAACCGGGGAACCTAACCTAATTTAAATATATGTTTGTAAAGTATTCATATTGAAAACTTAACAATCATGAATTTTTAATAACATGTATAATATGTTTATTCAAGTCGTTATATTACTTACAACTAATATTGCACAAAACAACTTATAAACTCTACTTAAAATAAACAAATTAAATAAGCAAAATGGCGGATTGTGTCAGGGCTACTGAAGTTAGCAAACGTGTCCTGGCCGCAAAATGTTTAGTTTCGCCATTTTGCTTACAAGCGCTTGCTAGCGCTTTTTTCTGCCAAACGCACCCATTAGATTATTGAAATAATTAAAATAAATATTTATGAGCTGTCAAAAAAGACTCTCCAATTTATACACACATCAAATCACTCACTCACACATCAGTGATCACTAGCAGAAGCTGAAATATTTTTAAAATTTAAGTTTATGAAGAAAAATTGTTTACGTTATACATTTTTTTTAAATAGAAATACAGTGTTAGAAATTAAAAAATAAAACTCTCCAGATCTACTCAAGACATGGACACGTCGGTTATTAGGATGAGTACTGATTCGCGATTTGTCAACGAAAAGACAGTTTTTCCAAATGCTTTTCCCCTCGTCATCTTCATTTTACAGTAGCCTAGCCCACTGCAGTCTCCGTCGCTGACACTACCGTGAATTTAGATGTGCTCGCCAAGACCTCCGTGCTCGGAGCCCAGCCTAGTTTAAGCAATTTCGAATGGTGTGAATGCTAACTTCAAGTCCAGAGGCAGCCACACTTCTGTTTTTGTTGTAGTGGCAATAATTGTTGGGTCACGGGCTGCCAGCAATCTGATATAGCGCTTCTGAGCAGTGGTCAGAACAGTTGGGTTCTCTCGTGGAATAGCCTTCTTCTCTCAAAGTTACAATTCTTGCTCATAAAACTTCTGATAATCCTCTTGGCATTTTGTTTTTGACTAAGTCAGTTTTGAGAATGAGCGTAAGCTTGTATTAAATTTAATTTTAAATGGAAAAACAATTGAATTTTTTTATTGTTTATATTCTAATTTTATGTTTTTAAGTAAATAACCTAAATATAAATAGAAATTATAATAAGTATAGTTAACGGAAACAAAAAAAAAATTCGATTTTCCAAACTGATCGCAAACTTTTTAATTAATATTTCGTAACCTTTTCAAGAATATTGTGCGCACGGAGAAGAGTGAGATTAGGCATGCGTGAGAAAAGGAGTGTAGAAACTAAAATTTATTTATAATAAGTATGTGTTACAAATACATTGAATTAAATAAAAACATTTATTGATTATGTTCATATTGCCAATGTCATATACATAATAGTCTGTACTCAAACATTAACACAGAGTTGTAATCTAAACTATCTTAAAGTTTTGCCTACAAATAATTACATTTTAATTTGGTGTCATTTTAGATCATCATTTCTATTTAAGTGGTATATACATGGTAGAGTTACGCTGCAGCTATATTATGGTTGCAGCACGAATAGGTCGGCTCGACCGGGTAAGGACCGCGCTCTCACAGAATACCAACGTAAAATGGCATCTTAATACTACTGTGTTTCGTATGGTGAGATCCGGAGACCCTCTTTTATTGGAAACGAGGCATTCCATCTTAGTCCTCAGGGGTGACCACGAATCTGCATTTTGTTTCTAATCGAGGATAAATGTAGAAGTCTATGGGCCACAGCATTCACATACTATTAGGTGGACTGTGTGCTCGTCTGTCACCCGTATTCTATTAAAAAAAATCTATATTTGACCAATTAACATTTTCATAAAATTACCTAAGCCGTTTCCTAATAGTGGTTCTTTTCAACTTTTTTTGTGTTTTACAGCAGGAAAAATGCTCTCGTTTTGCGGACGCAGCTTTCAGTTAGAGTTCATGCAATCATTGGTAAGTTTTAACATACAATTTAAACATGATGTGACATGAAGTTCTAAAAAAAAATAAGTCAGTCAGCTTTTTCTCCATATACTAACCTCTTCTTACACTGTGCATGCTGAAGATTGACGAACGAAGCTCTGAAGGTCGATTAACTGCTAAAATCTATCCAAAAACACTACAGACAAATTTCTTAGTGAATTAGTGTGCGCTACGCTTTCGAACCCAGCGTTGTGTGTATATGCAAACGTTCTAGGGAATACTTACTTGCTGGCACATTTCGTTATTGTTTCCATCCTACATACTCCTCCAACATAATCTGAAGAAATATGAAAGTATTAATTGCGTAAATTCTTTGTGCATAATTCAACTAAAAAATAATCTAAAAATTAATAAAATTTACTAAGACAAATTTTAGATATTCTTGCCAATGATAGAATTTTTTTTATTTTTTTTTAAATTTAGTGATTTATACAATCAAACAACAATTTAAATTTAGTGATTTATACAATCTTTGAAAGAATGTATATATCTAATTGATTATTCCCAATAAAATAGTAAACATTATATTTTTGTATCTAAGTTAAACTTCTATAAGTGGTATACTATTGGTTTCTCCGGTCATGGACTCCGCAGTTACGTGAATTTGATAAGTATTATGCCAAACTTAGGAAGCGCACTACATTTGTAGTGTGCTTGCTGAGTTTGATCAATCAGTCGCCAAAGAGTTGGTATTGCTATTGGGCGATACCAACTCTTTGACGGCACTTCTCTCCGCTCTTTATTTATGAGTGTGATATAATTTTAATACCTTGCAGAGAGGTTGCTGCATTCGCAGGGCCGTGAACTCCGTAGGGCATTATTTACCCTTAAACAAATTCTGCAGTCCGACAAAGATCTCGTCCATGAATTTGTTGCAAATAAGGGTTTGGATTGTCTAATGCAGGTCGCCAGTGTGGCCGATCATAATTATCTCGATTACATTTTGAGAGCCCTTGGTCAGGTGAGCAATATAGGTCATATATATATATATATATATATATATATATATATATATATCTTCTACTTAAATGTTCTTACTTTTTGACATTATTACTGTTATATTTTATTATTCTAGATTCTTCTCTATGTTGATGGTATGCACGGCGTAATGACACATAAACGATGCATCCAGTGGCTATATTCTTTAATATCCAGCAAATTTCGTCATGTTGTCAAAACTGCCCTCAAACTGCTTCTAGTATTCGTTGAATATACAGAAAAGAATTGTCTACTTCTAATAGATGCTATTAATGTAATTGATAACACCAACGGCAGGCAACCATGGTACAATGTTATGAAAATTCTTCAAGATTTCGATGCCTCAGACACTGAATTACTCATATATGCGACTACATTGATAAATAGATGTCTCAATAACGTTCCCGATAGAGATACATATTACGATCAGGTTGACGCCCTACAGGATCAGGGAATGGACGACATAATTCAATTGTATATGTCGAAACAAGGCACAGACTTAGACCTTCTCAGACAACTGCAAATATTTGAAGCCGTTCTTCTTTATGAAGATGGAGATGAAACCGGCACCGCACTTAAGTAAGTTAGGAATTAGGTTTTATTATACTCTCATATATTTGACAAAGCTTACTTTTCAAAGCTTACCACACTGCTTATTTATAATTTCAGACAACTAGATGATTCAGTAATTACTTCAGTAAGGCGGAGAAGTCTTAATCTTAGTACATCTGACAGACGGAAGTCTAAAAAACAACAAATCAGGGAAAAAGGTATGAAAAGTGATCATTACTGTATTACAATGTTGTCTGTTTGTTTGCTTTATTATTTGCATATAGATTTGCATGATATTTTCTTAAAAAAATTTGCAAAACAATTAATTTAACTATAATCTTTAATGATGTATGTTATGCGTTGGCATAAATTTTGTGGCATTTTACTAACTTTCAACAGCCAAATCACCAGTCATCCATCATGTGGAGCCTGATACTAAATTAGCCAATAACATCCGTTCATCATACCTACCAACAATTATTGATAACAAAGAGAACAAAGAACTAAGTTCAGCCCTTAAAAGAAGAAGAGACAGATATGCAAGACAAGCACATCACATTATACAACAGCAGGAATTAATGAATAACTCTGGTGATATCTATAACGGTCTCTTCAGTAACATAAACAGAGATTATAAAAGTACAAATGGAACATATACCACTCCTACCGCAAATTTCACAAACTCTGTTGCATCTTACCCGAACTCTAATGCATATACAAACAGCAACGGCGCACTAAACGGCCAAATACATTACAATAGCAATGGAACTAATGGACATTTGGATGAAGAAAACTCTTTTATAAACAGAGCACCAAGGAGCCTAAACTTACCAGATGTACTGAAAAATGGTTTGTTTCTTTACTAACCAACTAATATTTTGCATTTTACTGTTTGTTTTCATTGCTTGTTCTGTTCCCTTTGATATGCTGATAACCTTTGATCATCAACTACAAACTCATTCAAATTAAATATTTTAAAGATTCGTCTGTAAATTATATTATTTTAACTCTGATGGATTTATTGTTAACTTAAAATCTGTATAACAGGCAACCAAAGATACACTACTGGACTTAAACAAAGAATTCATAATGGGACACTAGGTCACTCTGTTACCACCGTTGATACATACGCTGTAATACGACAAAAACAAATAGATGCATCACCTGAAGTAAAAGAAGACAGGGGAATAATAATCAATAGAGAACATAGTATTAAAGATATCGCACAAATGCTTACAAGGCCAGCGAGTCCAACCGCAGATGATAAACAACTACGAGTAGCTGATATGGCAGGGATCGTTTTAAAAGCCAAAGAAGAATTAGCTAAATCGCAATCAAAAGGTAAGGGTAATACAGTAAATTATAACTGAACCTACTATAAATAACGTCATATATTTTATCATTTGATACTTAAATTTTACAGAAATTGTTAAAAGTCCGAGCATTGAAAAGAGTCCCAAAATACATGAAATAAAAGTGTCAGAAAATGATCTACATTGGGAGGAGTTAAAAAAAGGTGGTCTTAATAGAGAATTTCATCTATGTGATCTAGACTTTTCGGATTTGAGACAGGACTCTGATGATGACATGATATCTCCATCTATTTGTTCAATGAATGGGCCACCACCTCCTCCCCCAAATATGTTCCCATCTCTAGGAATACCACCACCATTACCTGGTTCATTACCACCAATGAACAAGCATACTATTCCGCATCCACCAAGATCATTGTCGTTAGATTTATCACAGGAATGTGATAATAGTACTATTAAGAAAAATAAGAAAACGGTAAAGCTATTCTGGCGAGAAATTCAAGAAAATCCAGTTCCTGTTACAATAAGGTCGAAAGTTGGTGGTTTCATTTGGGATGAACTTCCGGAAATAAATTTAGATACGGCAATGTTGGAACATCTCTTCGAATCAAGAACCAATGATTTAATAATTAAGGTATGTAGGCACGACCACTCCGGAAACTTATTCATTAAACCTATTCCGAAAATGTTATATTTTACACGATGTAATTTATGTAATTAAATTATTATTGTCAAAGAAATATTACTGTAAATACATATGTAATTGTTTTGTGGCATTACTCGAAGGAGGCACATATGTTCAGCCGTGATTTTATGAGGAGCTATCGAGATGAAAATGACGATGACATTTAAAGAAGAATTTCATGTATATATGTGTGAAATCTTTCTAACTTTGCATTGCCTGCTTTCCTTACTTTCGTGCATAGTGTCAGTGACTTATCTATTATGTAAATAAGCGAAACACCACTGACTGACTGACTCATCACAAGATCTCTGGAACTATACACCCGATTTACTTGAAATTTATTATAGTTACTTTTTTTGCATTTTGCAAAGTAGACGCACACTTAGAATGGATTTTACGATAGGCCCATCAAAAGAAATGCTTGATATTTTCAATCCGCAATAAAATATAATCGTGCGCCCAGTGAAGCGAGTGGGTATCAGCTAGTGTAACATAATTTTAAATAGTAAGGTAAATCTACAGTAAATAGCATGCTTTGCTGCGGAGGTACGGCAGACATGGCAAACGCTTTGTCCCGGCGAATATGTTCCACTTGAAGTTAAACAACAAAAAGAGTTCCGTTCGTACGGAGTGTACAGAAAAAAATGTTTCACAATTTCCATAGTGATAGTTCCATAATCACGGCATCTAGATGTTTCGACTAAGGAATCTAGTCACTGTTTACACGCTTTACCATCAAGTAATCTTGGCACATTACTTGATTGGGAAAGCTTGCATATCGCCGTAGGAATCCGACTAGGAGCGGCGATTTGTCAACCCCATCAGTGCCCTGTGGTAACAGCGTCGACGAGTTTGGGTTCCACGGAGTATCACAGTTCTTTGAACGATATCAGCCAAAGAGCTCTTGTTTCTATAAATGTTCCCTTGGTTTTAGAGCCTTGTGGAATATTTAGAGGCGATAGCAAGAGACGCGACAGTACAATATTAGTCCCTTGGAAGAGAGGTAAAGCCCTAGTGTGGAATACTTCTTGCGCACACACTTTGACCTCCTCTCATCTCTGAGGCACTTCGTTTAGGGCCGGCGTGGCATCAGAGGCAACTGAGTAAGTGGCACAAATATGAGTCTCTGAGAGATGACTACATATTTGTGACATTTTAGAGATATATGCTGTAGAGACTATCGGTCTGTACGGTCCACGTGTGGTGTAGTTCTGAAAGGAAATCTATCCGCGACTGGTCGTTGCTGCTGGTGAAAAGGGGGCTGGTTCTTTTCCCGCCCAAAGGCTAAGTATTTATTCAGCTATTCAGCGAGAAAACGCAGCCAGCGTTCTTGGCACGATACCACAGGGAGTAAGAATGTATGATAGATAAGTTGTTAGTTTTAGTTGTTTTTTTATTGTAATTTTTTGATATTGTATATATTTCAATAGAAGAATGGTTCATAAAACAAATAATATTAAAATATATCATTAAAACGTTAAATATTGTTAAAGAAAATAAGTTGCTTATACATAATACATTTATTTTAATGTTAAATTAACATCACGCGATATCACACATGTGTTAATTAATCTTCTTTTTATTTTATTTTTCATGTACCTGCTTTGCACGCGCTTGACTATTGTAGGAAGTAAGTAACGTTTAAAATTATACAGTTTAATAAAATTCGATCAATAAATAAATAAAATAAATGTTGTTTTGTTTACTAAGGATTTAATTCCGTAACCGAATTCCAGCAACAAGTAAAGATATTCTGTTTTGTTTTTATTCACTAGCATGATTTATTCCGATATAATTTTTTTCTGCACATTTATTTGAATGATGTTCCTTACAGAAATTAATGGAGCCAAAGAGAAATCTCATATTAGACGCTAAGCGTTCAAACGCAATTAATATAGCCATGAAAAAATTACCAACGCCACAGACGATCAAGGCTGCGATCATGAAAATGGACGCAACAGTTATAGGAAGAGAAGGTATAGAGAAACTCCTAACAATGCTCCCGACAGAAGAAGAGAAAGTAAAGATTCAAGAAGCACAGGTAGTTAACAATGTATATATTAGCTTACACTTTAAATATTATTATGTATGTGCCGTGTGGTAGAGGTGTCGAAAAAGAATACCACTACCTTATATCGTGGCGTGTGTGTCATATAGGGCGACAGAAGGAAACCAATCAAGATATATCAACAAGTGGATGTCACAAACCTTCCTTTTTAACTTAACGCCACCCAAATTGGAACTGTCACTTTTGTATCGATTAATCATTATAATGAAAACGAGCCGTAGTAACTCAGGGGCTCAGTGATTGATGTAAATTCGCTCAAATTTGAAGGAAACATCGTGAGGAACAGTTGAAGAAGCGCAGTTGATATTTCTTTATCTCAAAAACTTTCTTAGAAATGAGGGGAAGCGTGTGTCCATGAACGGGAAGTGTTTAGGTTGTAACTTATTTTTTTTTTATAACTAAAGCATAATTCGAGCTCCTAGAAATATTATAAATTTATAAAAAAAGAAGATAAGTAAAAGTTACAGCCGATGTAGGTCCGCCCACTGACAAAAAGAAGATAAGCGCCCACATATTTGCAACTGTGTTAGTGGGCACAGTTCACCTCTCATAATTTAAACTTTAAAAAATATACTAGTAGTAGCGATATTAACATTAATTACTAAACTTCGTTCGTTAGCCCGTTATATCTTCATAAAATAGTAGGTTTTGGAGCGGTTCACGATACTAATAGGCTTAAAATTGGTAAGTATTACTTCATCCATATGTATGAAGAGCACCTCCCATCCTCCCTCAATTGATATTGCGTACTTGCGTACTTTGCGTTATAAATATGATGATACTGCAGACAAAACTAAACCCAAGGAATCAAATAAATTACTTTAAAAAGGGACATTTCTTACAAAATTTATTTGGATTTCAAATTTCAAGTCAAATCATACCTATCAAAGTTCTCAAAGCCACATTCAACTAAACGGTAATTTCATAGATAAAGACCTATTAGATTATGATAATTAATAGAACCAGGCGTTCCTTTACGGACATCCATTATAATAAAGTTCTTAACGGCCAGCCACCGCAGAGTCTACTTCACGTGAGGATGCCTCGTGTAGAAGTGAAACACGTGTCTAATTATCGCCGTTGGTGTGTCTTACCTAGTGCAGTGGTGTTGGGGGTAGTGGTGCTGGGATTAGTGGTGAGAGTGATATTGCACCCAATTGAGGGAGGGCTAGAGGTGCTCTTCAAACGAGGTTAGACATATCATTTTATTTCATTTAAGCGGATATGGGCGAAGTAATTCTTACCAACTTTAATATAATGGATTTCCGCAAAGTAAGGCCTGATTCTATTAATTAATTATATGCTTTTACGATCACGGTCCGTAATCTTAATTATTGGGATGTTGATATCGCATACACATTTAAACAATTTCTTAGAAATGCAGATTTTCTAGCGATGTCCTAACACCGAGCACGTGGTCAAACCGCAATCAAAGTTTTGTAACTAACAATTTCGTTAGTTACAAAATTAAGTAAATTCATTTAAGTTTTAAGGCAAGCATTGCCTGTGTAATGCGATGACTCTCTCTTATATATTCAAGCAAATATGTAAAATATTTTTTTTACTTATTTTCAGTACGCAAACCCCGATTTGCCTCTCGGAAGCGCTGAACAGTTTCTACTTACCTTAGCATCAATTAATGAATTATCTTCAAGACTAAAGCTTTGGGTCTTTAAGCTCGACTTTGATAATTTAGAGGTAAGATATTTACGACTAACATCTACTTTTATACATTGCGTTAACATAGAGTTACAGCGAAAATAAGGGTATTAAGATTTAATTTGGCATAAAAATCTTATTGTAAAAGTCTGAGTAAATGTTCTACCCTACTACCAACCATAGTCGTAAGCTAGGGCTGGTTGGTAGTAATCCGATAATTAAAAAACCAGACAAAAATAACTAAATATATGTTTAATACTAAATAAATGTTGAAATAATTCATTTAGTAGTATCCACACCCGTAATTACAGAAAGAGATTGCTGAACCACTCATGGACCTAAAGCAAGGGATAGAACTATTGAAAGCGAATAAAACATTCAAAGTGATACTGTCGACGTTAAGGTCTGTAGGGAGTTTCCTTAACGGGAGCCAAGTAAAAGGTTTCCGCTTGGAGTACTTGTCCAAAGTAATGGAAGTCAAGGACACAGTGCACAAACATCCTCTGTTGTACCACATTTGCGAAATGATCATAGAGAAGTTTCCTGACAGCACCGACTTTTTTAGCGAGGTATGTATTAGAATGTATTTAATTTTTTTTATTAACTATAAGTTATAGGTTAACATTATACTGACAAGTATAACTAGGACCATCAAGACAAAATGCAATAGCTCGATGTGCAGCGGCATTACGACTATAGTGTAAAATCAATACCGGTTTGACACTAACCAACCCACCTCTTCAGCATTCGCATATTTTTTAATAATGTCTGTTATAAAACACTTTTCGACATAATCGTATTTCGTATTTTCAAAGGGCTGTTTTATAACATACATTATAGAGGTATTATCACTATTATAAACACTTCTTCCGGAGTTGCTATTAATGTTGTTATCCCCCTTTTTGTAATAAATAACATGATAATAATGTATACGGCATGGCACGCAACATAAAACTGCGAGGTTATTCGCTGTGCCACATAGTAATATTATAAAAAAATATCTGATAATAATAAAATGAAAAATATAAAATTTGATTACCGTAGTACATATATACATATGAAATAAATTTCATGTTTACTTTTTCAGGTGGGACCAGTGATCAGAGCGTCAAAAGTAGACTTCGACATATTGAACTCAAACTTGCAGAAATTAGAATCGGACTGCAAAGCATCGTGGGATCACATGAAACGTGTCGCCAAACACGACGGCTCGCAGATTTTCAAAACAAAGATCAACGAGTTCTTGACGGACGCTGCCGAGAGAATCATACTGTTGGGGGTAATTAAGAAGAGGGTAATGAGCAGGTTAGTTTTGCATATTTAATGGAGTCGTAATTCACCGGGTATTCCCCCTTGCGACCACTGACTGTATATATTTTTGATTAGGCCTGTGGTGCCCAAGAGGAATTAAACAAAATGTCATCATTTCCCAAATGTACCATATAGTTGGATCCTATTGGCAGACACCAAAGATAATTCAATTAGTATTAATCGTATATTAATAACATGTCTATTTTCTTTCATTGTGATCACAAATATCTTACTTATACATATTCTAAAATTAACGGCATAATTCTAATTTTACTGGATTTTTAATGTAAAAACATAAAACTTATTTGCCTTTTTTCTCATAGAATTATTCGTAAGTTTTTACTCATATTTTTCGCAATTATACGTGTTTATGTATTTTGATTAATGTTATATTTAATTTTATTTTTCGTATTAGCTACTGTATAAAAGCATGTGCTCTGCGAATTGATATTTGCTTGAATTGCGAATATTTTATAGTTAAATGATGCCAATGCGATAGAATGTAAATTTCTGGTTTTCATGTTAAGGTCAGGTTGGACGAAATAACGTATTCTAGACACGATTTTTACACGCGAGGATTGGATACTTCTTAAAATAGTATATCGAAAAAAATATATGCTTACTACTCAATTTAATTCTTATTTGAGTGGATTTTATAAACATACATGATATAAATTGAAAAAAAAAATATTGCCGGCAAGAAAGCAACGAATCTGTAAGTATTTGGACGTTAGTCGATGAGTCGCTCTATTTCGGCATTAACGCTATGGGACCTATAGAGGCACCCGTAGACTCGCGGATGGTCGTCGCTGTCTACGCGTAGCCAAAGGATGGACAGGTCCGAAACTTCAAGACTGCCGAGGCGTCAAGAACAGAACAGAACAGTGTTCCAGTTTGTACACCGGGTAGGAGAGATACGATATATTAACCGGAGAGGACACCTGAGTCTCGGTTAGAAAGAGTAGAGCCGGCTTGATTGTAGTGGACGGCGTTTAGGTTCGAGTGAAGTCCAGTGATATTGCAGAAATTCACGGATAGCGAGGCAGGGGTCGCCTTGGTCTAGTTGCTCAGTTTTCGCCGGAGCTTCTCCAGGAGTGCTGGTACCCTCCTGAGGTCTTACATTTTATTCCGCTACCATGTTGATGGAGGAGGGGGATGGGGTGGAATTGGGCCCCGGGCCACCAACCGTGGTGGTACCACGACCTCACCAAACGAAACACGGAAACAGAGCTTCCACTTCACGTTGGTATTCTGTGAGGTCATGGTACCACCCCGGCTCGAGCCGGCACATACGTACAACAGTGTTCTTTTCCCGGTTGAGCCGACCTAATCGTGCTACAACTATACTACTAAAGCTGCAGCATGACTGGAAACAAAGGTTTTCCACCTATGTTTACTACTATTCAAATAAAAAATCAACAAACGTATCAATATTGTAAGACGGCGATCCTTACATGTGCCATTTCTGAAAAGCGATAAAATAATTTAAAATTTTCTGCAAACAGCACTGAATACTCATCGTATAGTAACCAAATTCCCGTGTAGTCCCGGTTGAGAATATCCACTACCCCATATCTTCCCGTAGGTGTCGTAAGAGGCGACAGAGGGAGACGGAAAGGAGATGGGCAGCAGCATCTTCCTAATAACAACAATAACATAATAAAAAACTGTGGTTGCCAACCCGCTCGCCAGGCGTGGCAACTATGGCAAATATCCCCCCATGAGCAACGACACAAATAAACGGCCCCCAGTCCCCGACGGCCCCGCTATTCCTGGCTACGGTGGCGACCATGGTAACGGCGGGGCAGGGGGTGCTAAGAATCTCCGATGGAGGTTCGGTTGCCACCTACGACGACTCGACCTGGCAACGTATAACGCACGCACCCTGAAGACTGACGAGAAGATACTGGAGCTGGAAGAAGAGGTAGACAAGTTGCGCTGGCATATTATTGGATTATCTGAGGTCCGAAGAGAGGGGGATGACACGGTAATCCTCGAGTCCGGCAACTTGTTCTATCACCGGGAGGACGTCCATCTGTCCAAAGGAGGTGTTGGATTTATCGTCCGCAAGTCTCTCGTCAACAACGTTGTAAAGATTGGGAGTGTGTCGACGAGGGTCGCGTACTTGATACTCAGAATCACCAAACGGTATTCGCTGAAGGTCATACAGGTCTACGCACCAACCTCGGCACATCCCGATGAGGAGGTGGAGGAAATGTATGAGGATATTTCTAGAGCCATGCATTCCTCCAAAACCCACTACACGGTGTTGATGGGAGACTTCAACACAAAACTAGGCACAAGAGAAAGCGGTGAGCTGAAGTGAAATTTGGATAGGGCAGGAACCATGGGGCGCGGGCTTTTGGAGAAAGAGACTCTTTATGATGAACTCTTTCTTCCAGAAGCGGCCCCACAGGAAGTGGACCTGGTCGAGCCCCGACGGTTCGACAAAAAATGAGATTGACTTCATTATGACGACCAGACGCCAACTGTTCAGTGATGTCTCAGTGATCGCAAGGGTGAAAACCGGCAGCGATCACCGAATGGTTAGAGACGAACCTAAACGTTAAGTGGAGAGGTCTCGTCTAATGAAGTCAACACTCCGTCCCCCCTCGTGCTCTAATCCAGAATCCCGAGACTTTTCAGCTCGAGTTACGTAACCGCTTTCAGTGCCTAGAAGATTGCAATGCAGTGGACGATATGAATGACAAGCTCATGGAAACTGTCCATGCGGTCGGAGCTAAGTTCTGCAAGACCCGCCGCAGAAAAACACAAAAACTCTCCGATCACACTCTTAATCTCATGGCTGTTAGACGGGAGATGAGGCTGCAATCGTCAACAGATTTGACAGCATACAGGCAACTGAACAGACAGATCTTCAAATGCATGCGGCAAGACTTACGCAACTTTAATACTGCTCGTATTAAAGAAGCGATCGAGCGGAACCAGGGCTCCAAAGTCTTTGCCAGAGATCTGTCTGCCAGAAAGAGCCAACTGTCAAAGCTGAAGACTGAGTGTGGCAGCATCGTTTCCGGGACACCTGAGATTTTGAGTGAGATTGAGTTCATTGACATCATCGTTGGAGCCACACGCAAGTGTGAGTAACGATACAAGAGCAAGTCTTATCCGACACTATTCCGATGATATCCCGGACGTCAGTCTGAGCGAAATTAGAATGGCTCTCCAGCACCTTAAAAACGGCAGGGCCCCAGGCGAGGATGGAATTACAGCGGAGCTTCTGAAAGCGGGTGGAACACCGGTACTTGAAGTCCTTCAGAAGCTCTTCAATTCCGTCCTCCATGGTGGCATTACTCCGGAGGCGTGGAGCAGAAGTGCGGTGGTCTTTTTCTTTAAGAAAGGCGACAACGCTCTCTTGAAGAACTACAGACCGATTTCCCTACTGAGCCGCGTCTACGTGCTGTTTTCGAGAGTCATTACGAATCGTCTCGCACGCAGACTCGACGACTTCCAGCCTCCCGAACAAGCCGGTTTCCGAAAAGGCTTCAGTACCATAGACCACATACATACCCTGCGGCAGATTGTACAGAACACCGAAGAGTACAATCTGCCACTTTGCCTGGCGTATGTGGACTATGAGAAAGCCTTTGATTCCGTCGAAATTTGGGCGGTGCTACAGTCCCTTCAGCGGTGCCAAGTTGACTGTCGGTATATCGAGGTGCTGAAATGTTTGTACAGTAGGGCTACGATGGCTATCCGAGTACAGAACCAGAGTTCGAAACCTATCCAACTGCAGAGAGGTGTAAGACAGGGTGACGTTATATCCCCGAAACTCTTCACCGCTGCGTATTAACATCAATGGCGAGTACATCACTCACCTTCGATTTGCCGACGATATAGTCCTTATGGCAGAATCGCTGGAGGACCTTAGCACTATGCTCAATGACCTCAATGGTGTCTCCCAACGGATAGGTCTTAAGATGAACATGAACAAAACAAAGATTATGTTCAATGTCCATGTCACACCTATGCCGGTAGTTGTGGGGAGCACTATGCTCGAAGTTGTTGACGAGTACGTTTACCTGGGACAAATAGTCCGACTAGGTAAGTCCAACTTCGACCGAGAGGTCAATCGACGGATTCAACTCGGCTGGGCAGCGTTCGGGAAATTACGACACATCTTCTCGTCAGGTATACCTCAATCTCTGAAAACTAAAGTGTACAACCAGTGCGTGTTGCCAGTGATGACTTACGGATCAGAGACGTGGTCTTTCACTGCTGGCCGTATGAGGACGCTCAAGGTCGCTCAGCGAGCTATGGAGAGGGCTATGATCGGAGTTTCTCTGCGTGATAGACTCAGAAATGAGGATATCCGCAGTAAAACCAGAGTGACCGACATAGCCCAACGGATTAGTAAGCTGAAGTGGCAATGGGCCGGCCATATAGCTCGAAGAACCGATGACCAATGGGGAAGAAAGGTTCTCGAGTGGCAGCCTCGTACCGGTAGGCGTAGTGTAGGGCTATCCCCACTAGATGGAGTGACGACCTGGTAAGACATGCACGAAGTCGATGGATGCAGGTGGCTCAGGACCGTACTTTGTGGCATTACTTGGGGGAGGCCTATGTTCAGCAGTGGACTTGTGAAGGGCTGTAATGATGATGATGATGATGAGTCAATAAATTCTAGCTATAAATATGCAATCAACATCTTCAACCCTTGAATCCTGTGTAAATTCATGTAAAATTCACACTGTTCCGTCTCCAAAGAAATAAGTATAATTTTTTTATAATACTATTTCTATAATAAGGGTGATAAACGAGGACACAGTTTACCCGATGATAAGTGGATGCTGCAGCCATATACACTTACAACTATCGTCGATTAAGAATGAAAAGATTAGATCTTAGATCTACTGTCATACCTGAGTAGTATGGTAGAGTGCCTCGTTAATACATACGGATCTTCGGTTTTCTAATATCAGCATATCAGACATAGTAGCATTTAGCTACTATTTGCGCTGGTATTCCGTGAGGCGTAATTCTTCCCCGGTCTAGCTGACGCGTAAAGTACTGAAAGCATTATATTGTTACGAGCTTAGGGTTCGTGACAATAAAAACTGCCGATTGAATTACCAAAATTTACACTTTTATTACCGAACACCAATTAAAACTTAAAAGACACTAATAATTAATCACACTGATTCACTTTATTTCGTTTCGAAGCTTCGCTTGTCTCACCAAATTCAATACTGCTCGATACTAGATGGCACTGTTGGTCGAAAGTCAAGATTGACATTTTCTTAGAAAGCCCTCTTCGCTCTTTTCCCTGACACTAGATGGCGCTAGTGTATGGTACCTGACGTCAACTTAGGCGTGCAACAATATTAAAGCTACAACGTTGCTTTACTGCTTTAAAAATGTATGCTATTAAACAATTTCAATATTTTTGCAGGTAATATTTTTTTATTTAGTCATAATTTGGGTTAATATGACCAAAATTGTGTTATCTACCATTTACTATATTTTCAAACATTCAATCCTCGTTATTATTTTATTCAACGTTCTATACGGAGGTTTATCGACCAAATTGGCGATATATTGAAAATGGGTCAGATTAGGAGTGCCCTTAACTTACGAGCATGTATGCGTAGATATATGGATGTAAATTAGGGGAGAGAGGTGTGTCAGGATCGTGCCAAATAAATGACCGTTCTCTGTAGCCTCTGCCTACCCCTCTGGGTGACAGGTGTGAGGGTTTATGTTTATGTTATATTATAAATTAACAATTCGTTTGATACGTATTTGTACCAGTATTAACAATTTTAATGACAAAACATGTGTTGAGATGATTCGTGTATATAGTATTTATTTGAAATTTTCCGCGTCAAAATGTTTCATATAGACAAAGACTGTTTCTTTTGTTATAGGTACAATAAATTCTTGCTCTTCCTTGGTGTTCCTCCCGGAGACATATCGAAGACCAAACCATCAGAGTTCCTCAAGGTGATAGCGGAGTTCGCACTGGAGTATCGAACCACGAGAGAAAGGGTACTTCAGCAATTGGAAAAGCGAGCAAACCACAGAGAGAGGAACAAGACTAGGGGCAAAATGATTATTGATGTAAGTATATGCATCAAATTTTATATTAGAATTACTCCTGACTGTGACACTTTAATTTTCCCGCTTCGAGAAGTAACAAAATTTTCTTTGTTCTTCGACACAGTTCACTACATATGTGTCTACTCGACAATATAAGTTTCTTCATGTTATTTTATATCTATATATTAGTTTGCGGGGCCCCGGTTCTTTGTGCTATTTACAACCTTAAACCGAGAGAGTCTCTTAGAAAATAAAATTTAAGAAATAAATATATTAACTTTGGCCTCTCAGTATATCTATGAAAATCTGATGTATGTTCACAAAAACAAAGGTAGTTTTAGTAAAAAAGTGACATGCACTCTGTAAACACTAGGAACAAACACAAGCTGGTGCTACCAGTTTCTCGACTCCACAGAGTCAGTAATTCATTCTTGGGGCAATGTACACGCTTTTACAACAAAGTCCCAGAAAATATACAAGGTCTCTCTATTACCAAGTTTAAATATTTAATTTAACAAAAACTGTATAAAAAGGGTTATTATGATATAAATGAATACATGGTTGATAATAATCCCTGGGAATGAGGTGGTCGCTTCCAAGCTTTTTTTTTGTAATTGACATTGTAAAATTTATTTTAAAAATGTCCCGCTGGGTTTCTTGCTGGTTCTTCCCAAGATAGAGGGTTTTTTCGAACCAGTGGTGTAAAGTGGTAAAGTAAAATATTGATTTTCAGTAAGAATTACTTGTAATCTACATTGAATAAAAAATTATTCTATTCTATTTAGTCATCTTTAAGGTTAATTTTACCCCTTTTGAATTCAGCAAACCACCTAAAAATGGTTACGCGTGATGGAGCTGAGTCCTCTAATACTGATTGTAACCTTTGTAAGCTTAATTGTTCGGTGAAACCAAATTTAAAATCATAATAGATCATAGCGCGCCAATGTTCACGGTTAAGATCCATCGTTTTAAATGAAAAGCGCGGGAAGCGTTGTAGGAAAATAAATAGTACTTCGTTTTTTTTTTAAATATTGAGCAATTGGCTTATGGAGTACTATTTTTAAATAAATTTGCTTTTTAGAAACATATAATACGGGTGCGTTCCATTTTTAAATTTCGAGCATTTCAAAACTTATTCAGTGACCTACGTATGTGGGCCTTTTTTGCATCCTACTCTTGGGGGGCGGATTATCTTCTCGCTAGATGATCCCAAAAAAATCGTTATTGAGTCTGCCGATGTGCTGATGCTTCAGGGAATGGAAATTTTGATCCCGTCATCTCTAGTGCCCACAGGCAGCTGATCCTGGTATTGGTTACAAAATCGCGTCGCGGCAAAAGCAGGAGTCTTACAAGGCCTTGGCTGACCGGTCTCGGTCTCGATCCGCCCGTCCATCACTAGCGTACTCAAAAAGAAGTACAACTATGACTCCAAGTCCTTCAATAGAGTTATTGCTAGAGCAAAGTCGGAGCACGTTGGGAGAATTGGCGATAAACTAGTTAGCCTTCTTTCAAGAACTCGTGCGTTCTTATCCCTCGGCAAGGTTGCCCAAGGGAATTTCTGTAAACCATCATTACCATCTTTGCGCGAAGGATGACTTGGCGACGCAGTAAATGAAAAATCTGATATTTTAGGACCCCTTTTGGCGTCCAACTGAACTCTCGACGACAGGGGGATTATACTGTCGACCATCCCGAGCTCCATGCCGGATGTGCTGTTTACACAGCGCTCGGTGCGCAAAGCACTCTTGTCCCTAGACGTCCACAAGTCGAGCGGGCCTGATGGAATACCCCAAATTGTGATGAAACGTGTGCTCCAGAGTTGGCATCGATTCTAACGCATCTTTCGCGGTTCTCTTATTCTATAGGCTTCGTTTCAGGCTCATGGAATACATATGCCTTAGAGCACACGATGCCTAAAAAAGGTGAACGTTCGGGCCTGTCCAACTACAGGGCTATGGCTATCATCTCCTTGTTCTCCAAAGTAATGTCAGACCAAGGGGGGGGGCATGGTGGTTAATTTGGACATAGTGAAAGCCTTCAATCGGGTTTGGCACAAAGCGCTTCCCCGGAAATTATACAATTGGATCACTAGTTTTCTTACACACCAGAGCATTAAGGTCGTAGTCGACGGTGCATTCTACGACTCCAAGTCTGTGAATGCGGGTGGTCACTTGATGGATTTGTTGAAGCAGAAACACCCGGTAAACAGTTTGAAATTAAAGTGTTTATTATCATTATTGATAACTTGCTATCTGCTTTAGATAAACGCATAAAAGCATACCAAAATCTAACTGGTGTATTTGGATTATTTTAACAAGACACACTACTTTAGGTTACAAAAATTATAATAAAGAACTTAACTAAAATAATAATTAAAATTATAATATTTACGATTAAAACTAATTATATACAATATAAAAGAAGAAACTATAATATAGAAAATCTAAAACTAAAAATTTTAATCGTCAAAAAGACCTGCTCCCCGTGGTATAGTGCCAAGAACGCTGGCTGCATTTCCTCGCTGAATAGCTATACTTAGCCTTTGAGCGAGGAAAGAACCAGCCCTCTTATCACCAGCAGACACTCAATCTACGGCTGAATTAGCAGTAGCTTTCGACGTTCAATCACATCAAAACAATGTTGGTCCATTTACGTCAAATTGGCAAGGTGAAAAAGCTTGACGAATGGGTGCCTCGCGAACTAATGCGCGCCAGCGCGAAGTACGCGTCGAGACATGCCATGCACTGCCCAACACGCGTGTGCATGAAACGAAGACATTTTTGTACCGCATTATCATGTAAATATATTACAGCTGAAGAGATTTTGAAAGTAACTTCAGTTATGGTCAGTGCTTACGCAAATGGTTTAGAACACGCATAGGTGGCGAATTATGTGGGTGGTGCGATTTGTCAGTCGGGCACGACGTGCAATTTGCCAATCACACAAGCGACATCAATTGAACTTTCATAAATTCAATATAAATTTATAATGGATAATTCATTAGAATTATGTTTCCCCAATTTAGAAGCTGCTTAGCGCATTTATTGTCTCATGATCCATAACTGCAGTTAACATTCACGTTAATTTTCGACATTGAACCGTATAAAAAATTAATTTAGGGTATACTATAAGTCAAGAATGCCTAAAGTATTTGCCTGATTTTTATTGCTTAGAGCAATTGATACGAACACTATTATTTCTAAATTGCCCACATGAAATCTAGAAAAGTTATTTCGTAGACGTTTAAAAAGTAGTAAAAGAAACAGATAAATAAATATAAAATATATACATAATTTAAGTACTCCATTAATAAAATATAATATTAGCTATTCCTGAAAATATAATAGACTTTGCTATAAATATAAACTTTGAAATATGTACTAAAAAAGATTTACAATTATTTGCTTGTATTGTCAGTTTTAAAATTGTTAGTTTTTATCAAAATCATTCTAAATTACCAGGGCAATCTCTCGTACGGCTTTTTGTACTTGCCAGAGTGCCAGTGCCAGTCTAACAGGAGCAGGACCTATAGTAAACTATTGTACTATTAAACACCAACAAAATTATAACCCATAGATTGCAAATAAACATATTGAGTATTGAATTGTTTTTTACCACTTTATACCAAAAAACCTATAGCAGATCAAGGACCTCTCGATATAATTTGCTACGGGTGCCACGTTTGCTTAATCCAGCACTGAACGGAAGTGTCATAATCATAAAGGACGCAAAACGGAAACTGATGTCAAAAGCAAATTTTAGTGGAAACGAAAACGGATACAAAAATTGATGCGGAAGCGGAAGTGTAATACTATGAAAAAAGTACATATTTTTTCAATTTAATTTCCACCACATAAGAGGATCATCATATACAGGCAATCACTTTTCTTTTTTGTAATCCTGAAAGTGTGACTATGTCTACTAAAGTTGAGTTGTCACTCTCGTTATATTATGTAGGCGAGTCTCGCTGGTATCCATTTTTTTAAACGTTACCTCGACACCAGTACTTTGTCCTGTACTGTGAAGGCAGTTTACAAACATATATTACATAAGGACAAACAACTAGACCTCGAGTAACTATTTGAAGGCCATACAAATAATTACAAGTAAATACTTACGTTCCGTGCGGAATTCCAACCCGCGACCCTTAGCGCTAAACTCAATGGTAATCTGCGCCGCGGAGCCCTAAAATTCATACTTAACATGGATTCTAACATTTGTAATGATGAATTCATCATTGGTGATGACGTTGGTTGGACTTCATTCTCAATTTGAGTTCGTCACATTAAAGTTCCGATCAAGTAATTACGGTAGCAGAAGGAGAAACGGATGTTAAAAAACGTTGTACGCTTCTTGAGTCAACTTGCACGGTTGCGGAAACAGAAGTAGAAACGGGTGTCAAAAAGCGCTGTACGCTTCTTGACTCAACTTCCACGGTTCCGGAAACATAAGTAGAAACGGATGTCAAAAAGCGCTGTACGCTTCTTGACTCAACTTCCGCAGTTGCGAAGCAGAAGCAGAAGGCTGTTGCTTCACTAGTTAGAGGGTCTCCTAAGGAGAAATAGAATAGACACCTTTAAAAAAAGAGAATATTTTTTCTTCATAAGGACGGCAAAATGCCTGCTATTCCTCTGGCGTTGTCGATGTTCATAACCGGGGAGTCACTTAGCCTAAATGAATCACATGCTCTGCTATTAAAAATTAAAAGTTCTGATAGCAAGTATGATAGGTAGCGAAAGTGACGATGATGTTATTAATGAAGATATTATGTCCTTTAAATTCGCAGATTTCCTATGTAATATACATACACCGATATAATAATGTGTATTCTTTATCCAGGTTGGTAACTACTCCAACAAAAATGGGGACCATGTAGCAGATACTGCACTGAAGGAACTGCTCAAAACCGATCCGGAGACGGACAGCTTGACTGAAGGAAGGCGAAAGTCGCAACCGACCAGCTTAAAGAAGAATCTCATTAAGTAAGTTAAATATAAGTTCACTTGCTAATGAAGTCTTGTTGGAAGAGAATCATTTAATTCCTTTCAAATTATTCTCTTCCTTTAAAAGAGTATCTTGTCATCTGACAGAAAGATATGTTGAATCCAAAAGCCAAATGGTGGTGGCGGTAAAGAAGCCATATTCCCAACTCATCACGTGGATGTCTACGAATATATAAGAAACAGTTACTGGCAGATAAAAAACAAATATAAATTATTGCGATTTTCCAGTCTAGACGTACGATTATAGCTCTTAACTTCTGACCCTTAGACAATGTGTTATTAACAAATTATACTATATTTATTTACCATATGGTTTGTTCCGTAGCGGCGACATGACAGCGGACGATGAGATAATAGAAAGTCTAGTAAGATCGGCCACTTCGAAAAGGAGACCCGTGCCACGAGAAAGGAGAAGAAATAGGATCTCATCCGACAAGAAATATTGTGAGTATTCTATTAATACTAAAAAAAAAACAAAGTTATAATTAATACATTAAATGCTTATTTATATGATATTAAAAATTACCATGCGAATGTTTATGCTTTTGAAATCAGGCGAATTTCACTAAATATCATTTCACATTTTCAGCATTACTAAGCAGATTTCAATTTAAATGTTAAAATACATGTCCAAAAATAATCAATTTTAATTTTAACATACATTGCAATCCTTATCACTTTTATATATTAATATACAATATTTGTATATTATATAATAAACTGTATTTACATATAAATATTTTGTTATTGTACAATATATAAGTATATTTGTTAAATGCCTTTTGTGCGGATAACATAACAAAAGAATACTACTTACAAGTATCAAGGCCTAAATAAGATAAGAGATAGGCCATTAGATCACTTATAAATAAAAACAAAAATATCATTGTATTAAGAGCTATGGAGAAGGCTATGCGCGGGATTTCTCTGCATGATAGATTTAGAAATGAGGATATCCGCAGTAGAACCAAAATAACCGACGCCAACGGATTAGTAAGCTGAAGTAGCAATGGGCCGGTCATATAGCTCGAAGAACCGACAACCAATGGGGAAGAAAGGTTCTCGAGTGACAACCTCGTACCAGTAGGACAAGTGTAGTGATAATTACTAGGTGGAGTGACGCTCTGGTAAGGCATGCAGGAAATCGATAGATGCAGGAGCCACCTGTACTTTTGGCATTCATTGAGAAGGCCTATACTCAGCAGTGGACTTGTGGAGGGCTGTAATGAATAAAAGAGTTTTCGAATTTCATTATATAAAAAATATATAATAGAAATTAATTACTATGTGAATCAGAAAAAAAATCAATAAATATTTTCAGTGGACCTAAATAACGTCAGTTCAAAGTAACTATTCGAAGTTAATTAAAATCGAACGAATCTATTAAGTGCTCATAATTAACGTCGCTTATGCTATAACGTAAATTATAACGAACCCCCTTTCCTCCTTTAGCTGAAGACGAAGAAAACTTTGCTGACATGTTAACAAAGAACACAATTACTACCTACTGAGAGGTCTGAGAGCATAATAACGTCTAATAAAAAAAGAGAAGAATCAAAGTTATTTACCTCAATCTACACTAACACATAGTTGCAATGATATTGAACGATAAAAATTTATGTATTATCCTGAATTTCACATTTATACTTCTATGAGCGTTAGTTGTCTTTCCATTTTGTTTCGTAATTTCAACCTTTGTGAACATTTGTAGGTAATACTCATTCACGGATTGTAAATTTACTGACTGTCTTACTCAATTTTTGACAGAAACCATAAATAAATAATATCTTAATTTACTTATTGCCAATTGATAAACAAGTTTAAGATTCGCAGCAAACGATAATAATACTTTCGACTTTCGTAATCACGATTACGAATCTCTACAGTGAGCTAGCAATAATAAAGAAAAAAATAAAATCAGCACATTACCTGTTTGATAACAGCTCCCTTCCTTCCATTTTGTTTTCATGCTTACGCATACGGAACATTATTATTACTACTTAATAACATTATATTGGAACTACTTCTAAATCAATTAGGTACAACAGCTGCAGCACTACTACAACTACAAGACTAACTACGCTCACGTCATACCAGTGTGACGTAACAGCATAGGTAATGCTGGTGAGTTTCGTATGGTGACGGAAACTGGAGACCCTTTTCACCAGTAACGTGGCATTCCATTTTAGTTATCAGAGGTGACGAATGACAATGTGTTTTCACTACCGTCGATCATAATTCTATTAAAAAAATTACAAGTACTGAATTAAGAAAACTGCTCGTTTTAAAAAATTCATTTCAATTTGTTAATTGAATGATTAGTTTATTAGAACTTTTGCTGTGCGTATACAATATTATGTCCAGTTCCCTGAAGTAACGTTTTTTATGTTGCTAATATTGGATATTATGTTGGATACTTTTGCGAAGCTATTTACCAAGTCTCTCTTTTGCTAACTGAATAGTATAATCCCACACACTAACTTCCTTAATCTCTTATAATTTTTACATACTTTTACCTACCTATTCTTAATATATATAAATACTACTGTTACTGTTTACCGCTACGCTGGACGTAAATTGTTTGGTTTGTTATTCACGTGTAGTGCGGTGTAAGAGTATCTATAAGTATCTATGAGGTGCAGTAGCCACTTACGATTAGGTGAACTACGATCGTTTGTCAATTCAGTTTTGTAAAAAAACCATTTGACACATTTTTGAATTCACACATATGTACAAATTATGTTTCATATCAATATTTTAAGGGAATATTTTAAGCTGTTTTTAGTGTTTATTGACAGTCTTACGCTACATTAAAATTGAATAGTTTCGCCTACTATTTTATTTAAAAAAGCAGACATAATTCATATCAGTACGATGTTATTTTGTTGGGTGTTTGTTTTTTTCCTCTTATATAGATAGCCATTTAAAAAATTCAGCAGTTGGTACTTTTATTAGCCATTTATTATTAGTCTTTATCAATCTGGTTCATGGATTTACTGCCATCTTTTGGAAGCCATCAGATCTTCCTGGTATTTACGGGATGGAGTGTTAGATTCTCTTGTACCTTACCGGTAAATTAATTAATCGATTATGTTTAAATGTACATTTTCTTATGCTTACAGTTAACAGAACTCTAGATGGACATCAATCTTGGCCCGGCCGAGAGAGTAGTCCCGGGTAAGTTTTACAACAGCATTGTCGAATCCTTAAAGCGCACACAGTTATGATACGAGTTTGGAACCCAAAATTAGCATGTTCTAGTAGCACGTAGTTTATATCTGGTGCAATTTAGCACACAGATTAAATACAACTATTCTTAGAATAACATATTTTCTTCTTAACATTGATCTTCTTTAATCGTTATGGTGTTAAGACTAACAAAAAACCATGAAAAACCTAATATACCCTCCACGATGCATGAGTCGGATTATTTTGAGAAGTTGCATGCAACCAACACCTCAGCAGTAAGCGTAAAAGTCATATACAGCATTGTATACGTCTCACTATTGAGTGCAGACCTCATCTAGTTCCTAAGAAGATTTAAAAGCACAAAAGGGCAGCTCCAGTGTGTTCTTGAAATATTTTTTATCCCTCAAGCACCAGCTTTACTGACGTTTTCCTTAGTTCGCCCGGATCCTATAGTAAGTACGTATTAGTTTGCTCGTGACAAAATTTTTAGGAGTCCGCTTTATTAAAATATTAGTATTTGACTTTTAAAACATATAGTGCATACTACAGCAATTATTGTTAGAATACCTGCCTTTATTTATATCTCCTTATCAAGCCGTAAAACTCTATAGCTGGATGTGGGAAGCTCCTTTTGCAGGGAGGATTTGCCTTTATCGTCATGTTTAACAGGTGGATTAGCGATCGCAGAACCAGACTCTGTCAATCTGACAGACCTTTCAAAATATTAATGAATATTAATTTATGGACAGTTGTTTGGAAAATTTGAAAGTTGAAGAATGCGGGTTAAGAATGGGTGAGTTAACCATCAAATGCCTTTTGTACGCCGATGATCAAGTCATACTTGCGTCGTCGGCGGCCGAGTTGCAAATGATGGTTACATTAATGAACAGGTCATTAAAAGAAAGGGGAATGAAAGTGAACGCAAGTAAGACGAAAGTGATGGTTTTTGAAAGAGATGAAAGCAAAACGGTATGTGAAATAAGAATAGAAAGAGAGTTAATTGAGCAAGTGGATGAGTTCGTATATTTGGGATGTGTATTCAGCAGGGATGGGAGATATGATAAGGATATTGAACGACGAGTGAATGCAGGAAATAAAGTAAATGGGGCTCTACACTCTATTGTGAAAAGTCAGAATGTGTCAAAAAAGGCACGTATGGCAATTCACAGTGCTGTATTAGTCCCTACTTTAACGTATGGTAGTGAAAGTTGGGTGTGGCAGAAGAAGCACGAGAGTAGAATAAATGTAGTAGAAATGCGGTCGCTAAGGAGTATGTTAGGGCTGAATCTGAGTGACAGGGTGAGAAACTGTGTGATAAAAGAAGAGTGTGGTTTGCAAGATGATGCGGTGACCAGGATTAAGAAAGGAATGCTTCGGTGGTTTGGTCATGTAGAAAGAATGAATGCGGAAAGACTGACAAAGCAAATATATGTTGCAGAAGTGAACGGAAGAGTCGGAAAGGGACGTCCTAGGCGGAAGTTTGTCGACCAAATTGGCGATATACTAAAAATGGGGCCAAATTAAGAGTACCCTTAACCGACGAGCATGTATGCGTAGGTATATGGATGTGGAAGAGGCGAGAAAGGTATGTCAGGATCGTGCTAAATGGAAGTCTGTAGTCTCTGCCTACCCCTCTGGGTGATAGGCGTGAGTGTTTATGTTATGTTTATGTTTTTATTTTGTATCAGCAATATAATGTTGAAAACGAATGAAAATAAAACGACAAGCCTCTAAAAGATTAGAACCTACTTTTATACAAATAACGCTTGAAGACAACGCTCTTCCATTGTGAAATTAAGATTATTAAGAAACAAAATAAATAAAGAACTAAATATCTATATGGTGCGTACGTGCGTGCGTACTCGTGTCAGTGTGCGCGTGCGTGCGTGAGTGCGTGCGTGCGTGCTTGCATGCGTTTGTGTATATGTGTGTTTAATGTGCGCACGTACTTGTGTGTGAGTATGTGTGCGTGCTTGCGCGCGTATGTCTTTGCGTGCGTGCTTGCATGCGTATGTCTGTCCATGCGTGCGTGCGTACGTGCGTGCGTGCGTGTGACCAGACGTGCGTGCGTGAGTGCGAGCGTGGGTGCACGCGTACTTACATGCGTGCTTGTGCCTGAACGTGCGTGCGTGCGTACATGAGACCGTGCGTGCGTGCGTGCGTGTGTGTTGCGTTATCGTGCGTGCCTGCGTGTGTGCCTGTCTGCTGAATGCGTCATGCGTATGTGGATATCTTTGATAGAAATATTTACATAAACTATCACGCCTGTCACCCAGAGGGGTAGGCAGAGACTACAGACTTCCATTTAGCACGATCCTGACACACTTCTCTCGCCTCCTCCACATCCATATACCCGCGCATACATGCTCGTCGGTTAAGGGTACTCTTAATTTGGCCCATTTGCAGTATATCTCCTATTTGGTCGATAAACTTTCGCCTAGGACATCCCTTTCCGACTCAGCCGTTCACTTCTGCAACATAAATTTGCTTTGTCACTTTTTTCTTATTTATTCTTTCTACATGACCAAACCACCGAAGCATTACTTTCTTAATCCTGGTCACAACATCATCTTGCAAACCACACTCTTCTCTTATCACACAATTTCTCACCCTGTCACTCAAATTTAGCCCTAACATACCCCTTAACGACCGCGATTCTACTGCGTATGTTCTACTCTCGTCCTCATCTGCCAAACCTAGCTTTTACTACCATACGTTAAAGTATGGACTAACACAGCATTGCGAATTGCCATACGTGCCTTTTTGACACATTCTGACTTTCCACAATAGAATAAATATTTACATATAATATATACAAATTATAACAGTGTTTTTTTTTTCAGGTCTACAACAAACATCCTGCATAGATAGTCATCACTGAATGTAATAGAAAAGTATAGTACTATTTGTTAATTCTATTCGAATCTCAAGCAGTCTCCCAGAAATTATCATAAATAGTACTTTTAAGTTAAGCATAAAACATTTTGGGCTTGTAAAATTCATAATATTTGCAGCATGGTTGTATAATTTATGGGATCCCATTGAACCTTAAGTTATTCTCATATTTGTCCATAAAATAGCCTTTAACCTCGACTGCAACACATTTGTGTACGCATACTTTTCTGAATTAAAGAGTTAACATTATTATTTTAAAATTTTGACACTTTAAACGAAAATCTTTTATTTTCCTCTTACTCCCTTCACCTATCATTACGCATTTTCAATTTATAAGTTTATAAAATTTTACCAATTAGACAAATAATCGATTCCAGGAATCGTATAGATGGGCCTTCATAAACATTTCTTAAGAATTTCAATTTTTGGTAATCTAAAGGCCAAAGTAAATATATTGAATATTTCACGTTCAACAACTATTTTAAAAAACATACCGATGTAAAGTCCTCTTAGATCTCAGCTTCTTACTCATTTTTAGCAGCTCGTAAGTTGTCCAGTTAGACAAGAAGAATCCCCGCAAGCTTTTCCGTCTTTTATTTTTAACCAACTCATCAAAGGCAAGAAACGAGCCTTAGACCAAAACGAGGTAATATACATACGAGCAAAAGAACATAATATGTCATTTGGGTGCTTTTTTTCTTATTTTGTTACTCATACATAATAAGTATATGTCATTTGAACTTTTAGTTTATTGACAATTTTTGACAATCCTAAATACTTGACCATTGATAAATATTTACAATTTATTAATTGTATGTATAGATAATATGTGTGTTTTAATTCTTCTACGATATATTTATTGTAGCTGTAAATATGTATGTGTAAATAATAACTTCTTTATCTTTGAATTTTTGTTTTATTTTTTTTCACTGCCATTTGTTAAGTATCTAATATTTATTTCACACCAACTATGCCCGCTACTTCATTTGCATAGATGTTTTTCTTATTATTTAATAAATTGCTGTAAAAGCAAAGTAAATTGGTAACATATCGGGTAATTGCATTACTGGCCCACTCCTTATATTATTTCATCTTAAAAAAGCGATCAAGCACGTGTACATAAATAAACAAATCTTAGCATAGTAAACACGCACTAAGAAAATACGAAGAGCATGGAGCCTCTATTAATAATTGCAGAGCGCAAAGATAGGGAGGAAACAATTTTTCGAATGTTTTAATATATACGGGTTATCATCATCGCTACTACAGCCTTTAAACGTCCACTGTTGAACATGGGCTGCCCTGATAGATTTTAACATATACACATTTGCTATATTTGCCACGCTTGACAAGCGGGTTGACAATCACAGTTTTTTATTACTTTGAATTATCAAAGAACAGAAAATATCAGGAAAATAATGTTGCCCATCTGCTATTTCAGATTCTATGTGCCGCTTCTTACAATACCCATTAGATGACACAGGGCATATGATTCTTTAACGCCACTACTACACGGCGATTAGTAGTAATTTAGACAACGCCCACAACTGATGTACTCGTAACATGGACATTACACAGAGACCTTTGACTTATTTATGTTCATCACAGTGCAAATCAAAGGTGGGTGAGAATGAGAGTGAGACTCAGGAGTAGTTTACTTGCTGTTAATGTTGATGCAGTATCTATATACCTAACCAGTTTAATAGCAGTCAAGTCTCCAAGTGAGACGACTAGGAATGATGTTCGAAATCAGCACGTAGACCGTAGCGCCATTTTGAAGGGAAATCGGTCTGCAGCTCTTTAACAGAGTGAGCTACGGAGTAGCGCTCACACAAAGAATGGAATTAGGCAGCGCCTGAGGGAAATTAAGCACCTGTTTACCACCCAGTTTCAAAGGTTCCACTGTAACTCCATCATTAACCAAGGCCATGCTGTTTTTAAGGTGTAGGAGAGCCATTCTACTGTCGCTCAGACTGACGCGCGGGATATCAACGAATGTCAAGTTAAACTTACTCTTGGTATCTCACACTTGGATGTGGCTATAGTTGTCCGTAGAATGTTTCAATCTCACTCAATATATTAGGTCGCCCGTAAATAACGCTGCCATAGTCGCTCTTCCGCCTAGACAGTTAGGTATTTTGCTAACTCCAAAAAAATCTCTGGAGTCAATCACTTCTTCATGAGGAATTTAGTACGTGATAGAGCCATGCTGCAGCTATATTATAGTTTTAGTACGAAGGGGACGTCTCAACCGGGGCAGGTCCATGCTCTCACAGAATACCAGCGTAATATAGCAGCGTAATACTGCTTTGTTTCGTATAGTGAGTGTAGGGGTGTAGAGAACCGAAGACCCTTTTTTACTGGAATCGAGGAATTTCATCTTAGCCCTCAGGGGTGGCAACTGTTCTGCATTTTGATTCTTAATTGAGGATATATGGGGATGTCTATGGGCCACCGTATTCACTTTTTTTATACAAAGGGGGCAAACGAGCATGCGGCTCACCTGATGGTAAGTGACTACCGCCACCTATGAACAACCGCAACAACAGGGGGAATCGCAGATACGTTGCCGGCCTTTTAGAAAGGAGTAAACTCTTTTCTTGAAGGTCCTTAAGTCGTATCGGCCGGATCTCCGGAAAAAGTCGCCGGTGGTAAAAAATTACAAATTTTAACAGTGGTAGAGCCACGCGATAGCTTTGCTGTTGCAAGTATGGGCCGGATCAAACCGGTGTGGTACCACGACCTCACAGAATACCGGCGGGAAATGGAAGCTCTGCTTCCGCATTTCGTCTGGTGAGTGCAGGTGGCGGAGGCCTAAATCCCCCCGACCATCAACATGGGAGCGGAATTAAATGATGATAGACTACCCCAGGAGGGTACCAGCAGTCATGTACCAACGACCATGTTTCTCTACTCCTGAGTATTGGTGCTCAGCGTCTGGGGAAGGGGGGGCAAAATTCCGCTCAAGACTACAACTGCTCGAGGAAACAGAGCAACGTGAATCCGTGAATTTCTGCAATATCAGGGGACTTCACTCTAACCTAAAAGCCGTCCACTACCATCTCGAGACAGCGAGGCCGGCTCTGCTCTTTCTGACCGTGACGCAGGTGTCCTCTCCGGCTGATGTCTCGTATCTCTCCTACCCGGGGTATAAACTGGAACACTCCTTTGTGCCTCGGGCTAGAGTTTGCATTTACGTCAGAGAGGACATCTGTTCTCGACGCCTCAGCAGTCTTGTTGGTTCGGACCTGTCCATCCGCGCCGAAACAGGCCGACTCTTCGACCACGTCCAAATGGCTACAGATTCGTTGCTACATCAGATCACCTCCGCAGAGATCGTGATCCTCGGTGACTTTAACGCCCATCACGCCGAATGGCTTGGTTCACGTTTAACCGATCATGCAGGAAGATCTGTTCATGATTTTGCCTTGGCATAATATGGTCTGACAAAACTGGTTACTTCGCCTACGCGGATTCCAGATGTGAAGAATCATGCACCTTCCCTGTTGGACCTTCTGCTGACCTCTCACCCGGACGGATATCAGATTTCCGTCGACGCCCCTTTAGGCTCCTCGGACCATTGTCTTGTCCGGAGTGTGGTGCCACTCACACTGAAATCGCAGTTGCATTCTGCAGGCTGCCGCCGTGTTTGGCACTATAGGTCAACCGATTGAGATGGGATGCGGTCTTTCTTTGCATCCTACCCTTGGGGGGCGGGTTTGCTTCTCGGCGGACGATCCCAACGTTGTTGCGGATTCTGTCGCTGATGTGGTACTTCAGGGTATGGAACTTTTTATTCCTTCCTCTGTGGTGCCCATTGGAGGCAAATCTCAGACATGGTTTGGTCGCTCCTGTAAAATATCATCTTGCTATAAGCAGGAGTCTACCAAGCCTGGGCTGACGCATCAACCTCCCGGGATGTAAGCACCAGCACTCTAAAAAGAAGTATAAATCCGCCTCTAGGTCCATCAAAAGAGTCATTGCCAAGACAAAGTCAGAGCACTTAGGCAGAATTGGCCGAGAAACTAATTCGCCTTTCTTCTGGAACCCGTGCATTCTGGTCTCTCGCCAAGGCTGTCCAGGGGAATTTCTGTCAGCAATCTCTTCCATCTCTGCACAGGGAGAACGACTCACTGGCCCATACGGCAAAGTAGTAAGCCGATCTGCTAGGCTCTTTCTTTGCGTCCAAATCGACTCTCGATGACGGGGGGAGTACGCCGCCGACCATCTCGCGGTGTGAGTGCTCCATGCCGGAAGTGCAGTTCACACAGCACTCAGTTCGCAATGCACTCCTCTCCCTGGACATCCACAAGTCGAGTGGGCCTGACGGAATCCCCCCAATTGTGATGAGGACTTGTGACCCAGAGTTAGCACCGGTTTTAACGCGTCTTACCCGGTACTCCTACTCCCTAGGCGTAGTCCCAAAATCATGGAAGACAGCTTTCGTCCACCAGATCCCTAAAACAGGCGACCGCTCAGACCCATCCAACTACCGGCTTATCGCTATCACCTCCTTGAGGTACCTTGAGGATCACCAGCTGATTAGTGATAGCCAATACGGTTTTCACCGTGGTTGGTCAGCTGGTGATTTTTTGGTCTACCTAACTCACAGATGGGTGGAGGCAATAGAGTCCAAGGGGGAGGCATTGGCCGTTAGTTTGCACATTGCGAAGGCCTTCGATCGGGTGTGGCACAAAGCGCTTCTTTCGAAGCTCCCTTCCTATGGGATTCCCGCGAAATTGTGTGATTGGATCACCAGCTTTCATGCACATCGGAGCATCAAGGTCGTTCTAGACGGTGCAAGCTCCGATTACAAGCCTATCAATGCTGGTGTTCCACAAGGCTGATAGGTAAGGCAAGATATGTTGCAAACCCGTAACATTCATTGCTATGCAGATGACAGCACTGGTGATGCTCTTTATACCGGCCGTGCCAATATTTCTCGGGAAAACGTCTCCGAGTACCGGGACAAACTT